GACGCGTTCTGGAAGAAGGGTGAGATTTCCAGAACATCTAAACGACTATTGCACGTAAGGCACTTCTCGACATTTTATATTATTTTTAAAAAAAAAAACAATTTTAATATGCTTATATATTTTTATTTCTATTTAAAAAAAAACAAAACAAAAAAAACAATTTTTTTAACGCTATTACGTGTTCATGAGTTTATTTTCCATTTTTTTTCCGCCGACATTGTGCTTTTACGCACATACGAGTGTATTTCGACATGCACTTACATTTTCTTTTTCTTTTCCAGGACGGCTGGAAAAGAACGATGCCGTTTATGAGGATCCGAAATTTTCCATGTACATTTTCTTTTTTTACTATGTTGTACCTCCGTCCCATATAGTAAGGAAAGACGACCAGACGCTGCTAAATTTAGTAAGCTATCAGAAGAGTGTTTACCAACGACAAACTCGTTGGGTTTAAACTTCTGGCTGGCCACGTCTTAGGGTCGTCACTGCCCCACTAGGGGGGGAGTGATCTGTAGCGGTAAATAAATCCCCAAAATAAATAGCACTAAGTTTTCGACATTGGATGCTGACCATATGTTTTAGTGGACTCACCTAGCTGAAGGCGCTCGGTCAGGCATCCGCACCAGATCACGTGTGGTAACGCCGTGCTCAACATCAACCGCAATCGCTAGCCAGATTAGATCAGAGAATTCCGATATATTGGTCATCGCCAAATATACTCTTCCGATCTCCTCGACTCTGTCTTTTGATTTCTCTGGGCGGGAACGAAATATATTAGAAGGTGTTACTGGTAGAAGCGTTGCCAAACACTGAATACCTGTGACATCAACACCGCCTTCTTTCAGGATTCCAAGTGAGGGCTTGTCTCGTGATGCAGTTTGACGATTTGCGTAATGTATGTCCTATCCATTTCCATCGTCTTTTCTTAATTTCTTCTTCAGCTGGAAGTTGGTTTGTTCTCTCCCACAGAAGGCTATTGCTGACGGTATCCGGCCAATGGATGTCGAGTATCTTGCATAGACAACTATTTACAAATACTTGTACCTTCTTGATGGTGTTTGTTGTAGTTCTCCAAGTTTCAGCTCCGAATAGTAGAACTGCTTTGACGTTCGCATTGACGATTCTGACTTTGATATTGGTTGAAAGTTGTTTTCAGTTCTATATGTTCTTCAATTGAAGGAGTGCGGCCCTTGCTTTGCCAATCCTCACCTTTACGAATGCATCTGATCCTCCTTGTTCATCGATGATGCTTCCCAGGTATGTGGATGATTCCACATTTTCCAGAGTTCCACCATCAAGAGTGATTAAGTTGGTGTTCTCCGTGTTGTATTTGAGAACCTTGGTTTTTCCCTTGTGTATTTTGAGGCCTACTGATGCAGAGATTGCTGCTACACTGTCTGTCTTTATCTGCATTCGTTCATGTGCATGCGATAGGAGGGCTAGGTCATCTGCGATGTCTAAATCGTCTAATTTGTTCTGAGCTGTCCATTGTATGCCGTTTTTTCCCTTACATGTCGAGGTCTTCATAATCCAGTCGACCACCAGAAGAAAGAGGAAGGGAGAGAGTAACCAGTCCTGTCTGACGCTGTTCCTTACTTGAGATGCATCTGTCAGCTGTCCTCCATATGCGACATTGCACTGTAGTACGTCGTATGAGTTCCGGTAATGTTGACAATCTTCTCAGAAACTCCATAGTGTCGAAGAAGTTTCCATAACGTTCTCCTATCTACACTGTCAAACGCCTTTTCATAATCAATGAAGTTGATGTGCACTGACGAATTCCACTCAATTGATTGTTTGACGATGATCCATGGTGTCGCAATTTGGTCTGTGTACGACCGATCCTTACAAAAAACAGCTTGTTGTTCTCGAAGTTCGGCGTCTACTGTATCTTTCATCCGGTTCAGCAACACTCTGTTAAAGACTTTCTCTGGGATTGACAAAAGTGTAATGACTCTAACTTTCACATTTGCTCAGATCTCTCTTCTTTGGAACCTTGATGAGGTGTCTTTCTTTCCAGTCCATCGGCACTTGTTCCTCCTCCCAAATCTTTTTGAATAGGAGGTGAAGCATGTTTTTAGTTACTTCGATGCCTGACTTCAGTACTTCAGCTGGTATAGTGTCCGGTCCTGCTGCTTTCCCGCACCTGATTTGTCCGATGGCCATTCTGATTTCTTCCGTCGTTGGTGGATCGACATCCATGGGAAAATCTGTGTGTGATGCTGTAACAGCTTAGGTTGGTTGGTTAAGAGTTGACCCCAAACAACCAAGCATATGCCAAAACAGTATTGTTCAAGTGTTCACTCACTTCCTTGTTTTGTATAAGCGTTATATTCCCTATTATCTTATATTGAATGTTGAGAGCCTTTGTTTGTCTGAACAGGTAATCGCACGCTCCACTGTTACCGCGCTGAGATCGAAATAAAGACCTATTCACTACTTCTCTGGTTTCTTCTATCAATAGCACGAGGGTTACTTTAAGGCACGAAAATGCTTCGATGTCCGGTGGCTTCATTGTAGCCGGCCTATTCAGGAGTTCCTCGAAGTATTCTACCTATCTGTTACGCTGTTGTTGAATTTTGGTGATTTTCCTGCCTTCTTTGTCTTTGACCGGCCTCTCTGGTTTACTGTATTTCCCTGCTAGTTTCTTCGTTGTATCATGAAGCTGTTTCATATTTCCTTCCCTTGCAGCTTTTTCCGCCGTCGTTGCTAGTTCTTCCACGTACTTCTTCTTGTTGGCTCTAATGCTCTTCTTCACGTGTTTGTTTGCTTCTATGTATTCAGCTTGTGCTTGGACTTTCTCTGCTCGTGTTCGGCTGTTGTTAGTTGCTGTCTTTTTGTTCTTCCTTTCTTTGATCTTGTCCAGTGTTTCTATAGAGATCCATTCCTTATGATGGTGGTTATTGAGACCCAGAACCTCTTGACACGTTGATGTTAGTGCTTCTTTGATCTCTTTCCAGTTGTCCTTCGCGGTATTTTCTTCTTATTTGAGTAGATCTTGTAAGAATTGGAACCTCGTTGTTGTGAGCTATCTTGAATTGGTTGAGATTGTCAATATCTCGATGGGAAGGCTGTATTAAGCTTTTGTGATGTTTTTCCCCAGTTGTCCAGTTTTTCTTAAGCTTCAGTTTTAAATTGGCCAAAACTAGGGGGTGATCTGAAGCTAGATCAGCTCCTCTCCTGATTCTCACATCTTCCATTGTCCTTTGGAATTTTTTATTGATGCAAATATGATCTATCTGGTTCTCTCTGGTGTGGTTCGGTGAGATCCATGTAGCTTTGTGTATGCGATTGTGTGGAAATATTGTGCCTCCTATGACCAATTTGTTGAATGCACACAGATTTGCAAATCTTTCTCCATTTTTGTTTCTCTCTCCCAGTCCATGTCGTCCCATGACATCTTCATATCCGGTGTTGTCTATTCCAACTTTGGTGTTTAGATCTCCCATCAGAATGGTGAGGTCCTTTCTTGGGCACTTCTCTACGATTGATTGCAGACTCTCATAGAATTGATATTTAATGTCGTCGTTGCAATCATTGGTGGGTGCATAACATTGGATAATATTCATTGTGATCCCCTCGTTCTTTGTTTTGAATGATGTTTTGATGATTCTGGATCAGTGAGATTCCCATTCTACAAGTGCATTTAGTACCTCTTTGGACAGCATTAGAGCAACTTCCCGAATGTTTGTAGCATTTCCCTCTTCGTGACTAGAGCACAGCAGCATCTCTCCCCTATCTAGCTATTGTTGTCCAGCTTAGGTCCAATGGGTTTCACTTATTCCGAGAATCGCCAAATTGTATCTCCTCATTTCAGTTGCTATTTGACTGGTCTTCCCGTCTCCAACATTGTCCGGACGTTCCATGTACCTATAAAAACAGCTGCTGTGGTTGTTAGAAGAGGAATAGGCCTCGTGACTTCCGAAGGAACTCGGCTTTCACCATGAGTCGTCATAGTTCTTCTAAATGAGAACCTTCTAACTCCCAGGGCAGAGTTTAAATAGTTTGGATTATTTTTTTGTTTAGCGTTTTTTTAGAGAGTTAGTTTTCTACGGGATGAGGTCGCTAACCCCATTCCCAACCCTCATCCTTTACCTGAGCTTGGGACCGGCAGTAACTCTAGAAGAGTTACAGGCGGAGTTGCTCGTGAAAGACCTACTCAAAGAACTATCTCTCCACTTTTAACGAGAAGAAAAATTTGAGCATACTGTTAGAAAGTATGGAATTAAACGGCAATATCGACAACTGCAAATTGTGCAAAGACTTTAGTTTTTCAGAAATATATGAGGTTTTTAAAAAATCAAGTGGGACAACTTTAGGTTGAATTTCAGTATGTCACAGGTATTCGGAGTTTGACAACGCCTTTACATGTAAAGCTTTTATAATCGGAGGGTTGAAACCCAGTCAAATCAGAAGCCAGGAATGAAGGGGTTCGAAGATACACTCGGAAACCTATCGGAATGTCAGGAAGCGTTTGCTGTAAGCTGAATAGTAGTTGTAAGGGATGCGTACCCAAAGACGTTTTGGTGTGAATGCTTAACTGAGGGCCTCTAAATAGGAATGTATCTAGTAACGGTAATGAGTCCAGGATCAGTGTCATACAGCTACAGAACTGTTTATTTTTTGGATCTATTTTCCGCTACAAAATGATACATATGAAGGCGACTAATCAAGTAAAGGTGTTAGGTGACGACAGACTTTTTATATGGCTAACATGACCAAGCGACAGGCGAACTAAAGCTTTCCTGATAAATATGCAAAATTCAGTCCGCTGAAACGAAAGATACTGAATCCAATTGTTGGATCTCAAGGAAAATCAGTCTTCGCAGTCTCATTATGGACGACTAAAAAAACGATACTTTCAGTACTGTTCTCATATGTAAATACATATACGTTTAGGAATTTCCTTTGGACATGTGCTGGATAACAAAACAGTTGTTTTCATGAAAATTTCTGATTTATTGGGTTTGGATTATATTGGAGTACATTGGACACTTGATGATAAGAATTTGTATTGGGGCGTAACGGTGTGATAATCACATGAGTCGTTTCTTGCGGCTCCATCGCACTTGTTTCTCCTTTAGTTTTGTGGTTCCTTAGTATCAGGCCAGTAAGAAGACGTATAAATCGACTTTCAAATGCCTGCACTGATCGAAAACACCGAAGATTGGACTCCGGGAGATCAACGTCAAAAAATTAGTGAACTTGACGATAATGTGGTGGTATGTTTCTTTATTTCTTTGTGTTTACAAATCAAGGATGTTACAGGTTATTCGATATCATATATACGAACCATCTTTATGTACATTGGCATCATTTTCACCTGTGGACTGCTGAGACTTGTCTTTCGCTGGTTCCCTCATTGGATGCTGATGTGCATGAATAAGAAATGTGCTTTAATAAAAGCCGAGAAGATACTTGTCAAAGTAATTGTTTGTCCCCGTTTTTTTAGGCTTCATGAGCCTAGGACAAAATACAAACTACGTATTAAATTTCTCTTGCAGGATGTCCACGGTGTTCGCTACATACATGACGTGGTTGTTGAAATAATTGGAACAGCAAAGTAAGGATAACATTGCCTTTCTCATTCATTTTAGTAGTTGTGCTAAACCCTCTTACGTTCGAAAAACTGCCTCGTTCATGCTGTCGCAAGTGTCATGTTCTGAAAAAGTTAGTAAATATTTGTAATAATTCTATTATTTAGAAGAGCAAGATGATGTGTTACTTTGTTCATAAATGTGTAAAGTATGTATGGGACAGCAAGACTAATCGCTTTGAGCTTCCAAGGTGAGATTTACGCCCATCTTTTAATGTTTATTTATGACAATAAGTTTTGGTTGTCGATTAGTACTGTTTATTTATTTTTATGATAAGATGTTTAGTTATTTCGACTCCTTCCAAATTTTAATTTTGTAATTTCTCTGGTTCTTTACAGTTATGAGACTGTCAATAAGGTGTGTAGACGTCATATAATACTAAGTAGAGGTATTGTTGTGTATACATTATGCACTTATCCTTATTGTTATTATTTTATTTGAACGCATAAATATTGGTACGAAGGGCCACCAAATACATATGGGCCACACAAGTCTCTTGATTTTTGAGTGGCCTGTGATACTGCCAAGGTGCTCAGACCGGAGCAGGTGATTTTCTTAGCGAGGCCACACCCGAAGTTTTCGACCTAAATGTTCGACCCACAAGATAGTGGAGCAACGTAAGAAAATGCACTTAAATGGTTATCAGTGATCAACAATTGATTCATACGCTACTTGTTTCTTCATGATCCTGGAGCCCATGTCAACGATTGCTTTGAAATCAGGGTATTCCAATTCCCCTAGGTTGACCCTCCGTGTCTACAACCAGGCTATAGAGCAGGACATTCGCTTTTCACCCTCTCGATTACATAAATGACAACCCCACCACGAGAAGGCAGTGAATAGGACTCCTCCGGCAGTGGTTGTAAGCACGTAGCCATGTGAGAGCGTTTCGAGGTGAGCGGACTTTCTCCACCGTCGGCCGTACCAAGGCATTTGGGGGCTTTCTAGTTAAAAAACGATAAATATAATTATTGTTTCGCTATTTTAGATTCTTGTTAACACTTGTCTGAATAGTTACCGTGTTTTGAATTCTCTATCTGATCACTTCCAGTGCATATCAAGAGATCTTTATCAGTATAACATTTTTCTCACCAGGAACAACTTGTTTTGTAAATGATGTTTGACTAGTTCAAATGTCAGTGGACTTAACCATTTTAATAGGTACAGACTGGTGATTACGTATCCTTCCACAACATGAGTGACTGGGTATTATGAATCACGCACTCAAATTCATCTTAATTACTGCCAACCCACATCCTTTTTCAGATTCTGTTTTCTTCATATTGTCAATCCTTCATATTCGGCTTAGTTTTCTCCCATATCAATAATGATTCAAGCTTACAAAGCATTATTCCTTTTAAAGCTTCACTCCAAACTGCGTGTTAAAATTCGATTTCCAAATCATGTGTCTAATAGTACGACAGACATCATTATTTATACTTATGATGCTCTTCAGATAATTAGTGAATATGCATGAAGACAAGTGGAAAAGTTTGAATTTAGTGTAGAAGGCACGTGTACGTAACCAGTAGTTGATTGTAGGTGTCTTTCAGGTATTGTTTGTATATGGTAGAACGTTAACTGGAAAACGCTTACGTTAAACGTAGAGGAATTGGTAGAGCTAGTAAAATGGTTTAGGCTGTGAATTTTCACAAGAGTTATTTATTTAGGAGACGGTTTACGTGTTCCCAGCAATTGCCTACCTCGCTGTACATTACTGACTGGTAAAGCGGTGGTTTCGAACAAGGCTTAGGGTCACCCAAAGAAAATACGACATTGATCTGGGTCGTTTCAGGAGTTTTAGTCTTCTAGTTATGGATCCATGCGAAAATAGTAATCTCTAGTTGAAGAGCAATTGGTTAAAATTCTCAATTGGATATACATTCTTTCTCTATCTTGGTAGGGATACCTCAAGTTACCTGGTTTTTATCAGTAAATGTCGAATTCTTTCATGTTACGGTAACCGCAAGGAAGTTTCCTCTAATTTTTACTTCTACACGATCATTGCTGTTCTTTGACTAATCACCACCACTCTAAGTTTACTTATTTTTCTGTGTCTGAAGGCCATGTCTTGTTATATTCATCACTGTTAGGTCCCGATAAACATAATGAATGGTAATTTTGTAATCGTTTTATGGACCAATACTAAACGTTTATTTCTATCGTATAATTGTTAAATAAATAAACTATTGGTATTCATGTTCCTCTTATTATAAGCTTTATTTTGACCTATGAACCATTATTATGCGTTTTAGCACTCTTGAATTATGCCCTATCTATTAGTCACTGCCTCACACATTCACAGCCACATTTGGCCAAATTTCGTACAAATGTCATTTTCTATCTTATGCTACGTTGTGGTCTGTTTGATTGGTATATGAACTCAGTATGTTTGAAATATGATGATTCATATTGCAGAGGCTGACACTGGTGTTCTGGACTTAACTGGCTGGGCTAGGTGGAAAGCAGGACCAATCAGGACTCTAGGCTGCTCGCACGTGTTTTCTGCGTCCTTGGTCCGACCGATAATTCGCTGCTTCTGATTGGCGGATTCGGGCCATGACAATCACACAGTTCCAATTTAAATTTGGATTCGTTAAATAAAAGGCATTTTCTCCACTCACGTGTTCTTTCTAGGTTTCCTCGTTTGAGGGTAATTGTCGAGGCGTTATCGGTCGTACTGTCAAGTTCTCATTAGTTCCCGTTCATACTAGAATAGTCTATCGTTCGTACTTGGAAACTTCCGCAGGCCCGATTGTAAACAGAAGCATCTTCATCTAGATCTCTTAGATAAAATAATACAAACTGACTCATTCACTAGGTATTTGGATATGAGGCACATTCTAGATGGGAGGACTAATGATACTATCCGGTTAACAAAACCTTAAGTAAATGTGAATTGTGGCATCCTAAATCGATGCACATGTAAGGTAGTTCCTATGTCTTTTTAGTTTATTTACCTTCCAGTTTTTCAATTTTAAATAGTGAACATTTCTTAGTGAAATGTTTACTTCCTACATGAGCTTTTGGAAAATATCGTCATTGATTGGGTCTTAACCAGGTACTCCTTGTGGTTTCATTTCAGAAGATACTTCACTGCCTAGTATTAGCCCACTTACTCATTTTATCATAGAATTTTCTGTCACGTGTTGAACATTATGGCAGTTGTTGACAACTCCTTACTCTTCGTTTTGAACAGTTACAATTGTGCACAAGGAAGAAATTTAGTCCCTGGAAATTTAACCTTTAAATTCGACTTACCTCTGTTAACTCTTCATAGGTACTGGCATAGAAAGAAGCTAGTAGGGATATTCTAATATATAAACACAGTGTAGAAGTTGTCAAAGTATTTTCTGTTATATTGGGTTTATTAGGTGCAATGGAATTTGAAAAGAATATTTTTTCTCTTTCGAATTTTAGGAGCTGGCATGAAACTACATATGAAGAAATTCTGGATTCTAAGCCTTTGAATAACGAAACAGTCCTTATGAATCGTGCGTTGTATGGAATGAATGAAATAAGTATCAATCTTACTTCAATTGTCAGGCTACTACTTGATGTGGTATGTTGGTCAGATTACACATTGAATAGTTTTGTACAATTTGAAGGTTGATTTGGTTATGGGTACTGGATACGTAGTTGTTATGCTTTGTATATGACATTTAGTTTTTCTATACTTTGTTTTATGTAGTGCTTGAATCCATTCTACTGTTTCCAAATATTCAGTTGTATTTTGTGGTATTCTGATGAGTACTGGATGTACGCTACTTGTATTGTTGTTATTTCAATTATGTCACTATCATGGCAAGTTTATGAACTACGTAGAGTAAGTAACTACTTTCTTATTCTAACGGTTTTTAATAAGTGATGGTCTTGTTTTGATGTACTGGTCCAATGATTTACAGAATGCTTTGATTATCAGGACGTTACTTGTTCACCGATCTTATCTACTATAGTTTAGATAGAAAAGCAGTATCATTAAATTATTTAATAAGTGTGGTTTGGGGCTGAGCACTTCGATTTTTCTTACTTATTGGGAAGTTTCAGCTGTTTGTTTGCATGATTTAATTGTCAAAGGAACGTAAAATAATGATGGATTGATAATGTTAAGCGGTGCGAATGAGATAGCTAGTCAACTGCTTTGTTACCTCGATTTAAATTTTTCAATTAACGTGCAGTCGAAAAGAAAGAACAGCTGACTACATGACCAATTTTGTCATTCTCTTCCCTTCTGAATACAAAAGTGTGAAATGATTCGTTTTAATAGTGTAACCTAGTAGTAGTATAACCTATCCACATGAAATGATATCTGAGAGTCAGTAAATGTCGAGTGAGTCAAAAACGTTAGGCATCGATCTATGTTAGGTTTATTATTATAGTTTTATACCTGCCTAATGAAAGTAAGTTTGATTTAATCGAAGCAGTTGTTTTAATTAGTCTCTGCATCAGTAGGCCTCAAAATACACAAGGGAAAAAACCAAGGTTCTCAAATGCAACACGGAGAACACCAACTTAATCACTCTTGATGGTGGAACTCTGGAAAATGTGGAATCATCCACATACCTGGGAAGCATCATCGATGAACAAGGAGGATCAGATGCATTCGTAAAGGTGAGGATTGGCAAAGCAAGGGCCGCACTCCTTCAATTGAAGAACATATAGAACTGAAAACAACTTTCAACCAATATCAAAGTCAGAATCGTCAATGCGAACGTCAAAGCAGTTCTACTATTCGGAGCTGAAACTTGGAGAACTACAACAAACACCATCAAGAAGGTACAAGTATTTGTAAATAGTTGTCTATGCAAGATACTCGACATCCATTGGCCGGATACCGTCAGCAATAGCCTTCTGTGGGAGAGAACAAACCAACTTCCAGCTGAAGAAGAAATTAAGAAAAGACGATGGAAATGGATAGGACATACACTATGCAAATCGTCAAACTGCATGTGAATCTGTAAAACACTGAAATGTTCGAATTTAAACTAATACCATTTATAGGACAGGACGTATGTGTTTATAGTAACTATCAAATAACAGTTTCTTCCTTCGTTTCCCTAGATCCAGTGAATTTTCTTAGTCAGTATAGTGTGACAAATCCACACATGGCACCATTGAATCGTGAATTAATAGAACGTTGTATAATTCCTCAGTGAAAATTTTGTATTTGAATGTTTTGAATCAATGCTGATAATGCTGTATTTGCATACTTGCGTTTCCCCATTTGTAACAAAACGCTTTTTTTGTAGAACGAAAAGACTCTTAAAGAAACTATGTGTATATCCTCTTCTGTAATCGTTTATCGAGAGGAAGATGGGGTTAAAGGTATGCACATATTTTATTTTTCTGTAATCCTTTTCATGACTTGTATAATGACTGCTTGTGTGGTGTGTGCTACTGATGTCGACAGATATAAGTAGTATGTGTCATCAATCGAAAGTGAAATGCCTGGAGGAAGAATGTTAAGAAAATTGAAGGAAAGAGAACGAAAACGGAGGATGATTCGTGTGGAATCGAAAGAACAGTGAAGTCTGAGACGATTGAGTAACATTTGCAGAAGGAACAGTCAAGTTTGAGACAATTGATTGACATTTTGTAAATAAAGTATTTACTGTATGGTTGTCAGATTTTACTAAGAGATTCTGTGATTTTGTGTTGAAATACATTTGGTTTTCCGCACTGGTGTTCTCGTTCACTACACTTAGATTCTGTTCGTTTGATTGTTGCGACTCATGATTTCTGATTGCTAACGTTATTATGCGGTAGCCTAGTGGTTGGAGGATTCGACTTTCAATGACTGAATTGGTGCGAACCGCCCTCAGAGTATTTTCGTCCAAGTGGTCATCTGGTATCTTTGCTCCTACATAAAATATGTACCTTAAAACCGGATATGAAAGCCTGTAGTTGGTAGATCGTTGGAAAATGTATCGTATCGCAAAAAAATCGACCTAAATCAGCCAAAAGTATACTTGGTATTTATCGTCATTAATAATTTTTAGGTCGCCTATGTATCTTCAGATTTTCAAACTAAATGGTTGATTATCTATGATTTTTAGATGCATAGACATCCACTCACTTTCTCATGTCTTTTTGTCGGTTGGAGAAAGAAATAATTTTTCAACTTTGTTTTAATTTCTCCGTAGTTTGAGGGCTAAGTCAAGAGATTTTGGGAGGTGGGAATAATACATATTCAGTTGAAGCGCATTTACGTTAGATGAACATTGTGATAGTATCCCATTCTGTGATCGAAGTAAAGTCATAGCATAAATGAGTTACACTATAAGACCTTTATCATCTGATATTGATATGAAACTGACTAGGTTCTTTACCTGTTTCATGTTAAGGCAATCTCCCATACTCAATCACAAATCTAGTGACGTTTTTAAGTTAGCTAATCAGTGTGACTTACTGATCGTAAAAAAGCACGTCTGTTGTCCAGGGTTTAACAGTTCCGTCCATTACTTAAAAGGAATTATCACTGCAAAAATTAGGTGTCTATAATATGTGTTTGCATATTTTGCATACTTTTAAATGCGTTTCATATTCTACCAATTTTCATAATAATGTATTCGTTTGTACTGATGAATATGATTTAGTTAAACTGAATTACGTTTATAACATAGCGGACCAGTTGTGTAGTAACTTTCCTTGTAAGATATAAATGGTGTATTTTTGCGAGTTAGCAAGTTAGGGATAACGGTGGACAAACTCTCAACATAAACCTCCGTAAAATCTGGCCTCGAAATTTTTCTAAGTCATTTATCAAGCAGTTTTCTTTTTTGGCAAAAATAATAGGCCGTCCACGATACGCATATTCTGGTATTTAATGGGGAATTTTAACTGTTAGTCTTCCTAAATTTGTATTATTAACACTATCAATGAGATCTATTTGAAAAAAATCGCATGATTTATTTTTGTATCGGTTATTTGAATCCCCATTGATATTTCGGACTGTAATTGTGCGACCCGTGCTGATTGCCTCGATATTGACTTACATCACAAGCATCAGAAGTAGAGATGGATGGTGGCTAGCGGTGGAATCCTGTGCGTGCGTTTCGCCCTATTTGGGACCTGTGAGTTGTACGTAATTGTTTCCCAGAGACTACGTTCACTCCGGGACTCGAACCCAGTGCTGTTCGCTTCAAACGCCATCGCGTTATCCACCTAGCTACTGAGTCCACATATCCGCTTTCTGGATTCCACTGCTAGCCACCATCCATTTCTGCTTAGTGATTGTATGGTTTGGTCCAACCGTTCTTTCAATCCACCAAACTGGTTATTTTAATTCCCTTAACAGTAGATATTCAGACATAATAATCTATTTGTTTATTAATATTTGAGAAGGAATGTCTCATAAATAATTATTTTCACAGAATTCAAAGAAGTGGATTCCATTTCATTAGTTCCCGGTGATATAATTGAAATTCCACAAAACGGGTGTCTGGTTCAATGTGATGCCATCTTACTAGCAGGAAACTGCATAGTAAATGAAAGTACATTGACCGGTGAGTCACATTAGTATAATGTTACTGCAGATATGGATTCATTAATATGTGAAGTAATGTCAACCATATTCTTAACTCAGTCTTTTGAGTCCTCCGATAAATTTTATGTGAATACACAAATACATATGAAGATTGCTGTAAAAAATTATGTTCTTTTATCCCTTTTAATCGTTTATTTCATATATTTTGGTTCTACATAATTCTCCTCAAGCACTCCATAATAATAATTATAATGATCATAATGATAATAGTGTTCCTTATTTAGAAAGTACAGATTCACATACTACTCGACCTTAAGTTTTGGTGTTTTTGTGAGGTGTATTGGTTTTTCGGGACTGGCCACACTGAAATGTGATTTAGACCTGTGACCTTATGATTACGAACCGAGTGCAGTAACCGCTTGTTCGTTGGTTCCCTATCGATCCCTTAAAGCACTCTCTGTTTGTGGGTCGTCACACTACAGATGTTGATAATGATACGATATGAATTATTTAGAGTACCATCGTCAAAATGTACAATCTGTATAGTGTTTCTTTATTTTTGTGGACTGGGAAATATTGTTACAGAACTAGGATACATCGTCATTAAAGTCGTTCGAGAGGAAATAGGTCTCACTGACCACTGACTATGTTTTGTTTTACATGAACTACTATGTGACAAAATAAGCAGTGTAATCTATGCATGAACATGGAAAGATGAGTGTGGTTTTTTGCATGACGGCGAGATCGTTTTTGCTCTGTGTGTGGTTGGTGTGAAACTTTGGAGATGTTCATCAATAACTTTGTATGGAAGTAGCCACCATTATTTTATCTTACAGTAATGTGGTGAATAACAATGTATTAGAAATTAATATGCCATTTGTAGACGATTTTTCCAATGATAAAATTTCTATTGTATAAGCTTAAGACAGAGTTTTGTAAAGGAGTGTTGGGATACTCAGAAAAATATCCCAAAAAACAATTATCCGGTTAAGTCTAACGCTACCCTTGAACGTTAAATGGTGTCATTTCCCTATTGGTCGTTTCCCTACTGATCAATATTTATTTCAATGGTTAAGATCATGAGTCAGTTGAAGCTAGACCACCATGGAAAACCTGGAAGCACTCATGATCTTAACCATTGAAATTACTACAATCTCCACAAAAACCCATCTGATATCAATATTTATTTCGCGTGTCATTTTCCTATTGGTCAATATTATTTAACGTGTCACCTTTCTGTTGGTCAATATTTATAGTAATTCTAACTGTATAAATATGCATTTGTTTGTAAATCATTATTCTGCTGCTCCTGACCCCATAAACGATTTTTCATCTACGGTTCGTGTTCTGATATATTGGAGATTGGAAACAGTATTGGGGTCGGAGTGGGATATCTGAAGCTTGTCAATCGGTAGAATTTAGAGTAGCCAACTCGCGATTCACAATAAATTGGAGACGGAGATTTAGCAACAAGTTGGTGACTAACTATGGGTCCAGCCAAATTAGAAAAACTGTTCGAACAGCAGCTGAAGCTGATGTAGATGATTACTCAGATGCACATATCTTCTCGAGTCCCAACTACACCGACAATTCCTGAATCAGTTGATGGTATTACCAGTGGTATTTCAGAATTTCTTTATGATCCTGATGCCAACATTACATTTGATACCTGGTTCAGACGTTATGAAGACCTTTTTAAAGTTGACTTTGCTGACAGAGATGATTCGTGGAAGGTGCGTCTTCTTCTTCGTAAACTTGGTCCATCCGAGCTGGATAAGTATTGCAACTTCATTCTACCGCAGAACCCACGCGACCGTTCATTCGACGCCACTATTCAGTCCCTTAGCCAACTTTTTGGTGATCATCACTCACTCTTCAGTACCCGATATCGCTGCTTAAAACTGGTCATGAATGAGTCCGATGACTTCCTGACCCACGTCGGCGTTGTTAACCGTGAGTGCGAACGGTGAATCGCGAGTTGGCTACTCTAAATTCTACCGATTAGACAAGCTTCAGATATCCCACTCCGACCCCAATACTGTTTCCAATCTCCAATATATCAGAACACGAACCGTAGATGAAAAATCGTTTATGGGGTCAGGAGCAGCAGAATAATGATTTACAAACAAATGCATATTTATACAGTTAGAATTACTATAAATATTGACCAACAGAAAGGTGACACGTTAAATAATATTGACCAATAGGAAAATGACACGCGAAATAAATATTGATCAGTAGGGAAATGACACCATTTAACGTTCAAGGGTAGCGTTAGACTTAACCGGATAATTGTTTTTGGGATATTTTTCTGAGTATCCCAACACCTCCCCTTTGGAGAAGTTAATAGCGACGTAACCGAGGGTTTACTTGAAGTTTCTTTGGGTGTCTTCTTTTGTGACCCGACCTCCGAGGCAACCACACAACCAGAAGTATGTTCTACTTGAGTAGATGACTTAGTCGTCTCTGTTGGAGGGATTGGCGGAAGTTGAAACGTGTCCAACAGCAAGTCAAGTGGGACGCGTTTTGTAATTGCTTCTTTCTCCTTCGCTTCCCTTGACCTGAGTTGATTGTGGTGCCTGGTCCAGATTTCTTGGTTCACCTTGACATCATACATGACGTTCCCATGTTTTTTTGTGATTTCACCCTCTACCCATCTATCGCATCCGTGTCTATAATCTCGCGCATACACTTTTGTGCCAACTTCGTAGGGAATTCGAGTATTCTTCATCTGGGGGCTTTGCTGGGCCACTTGCTTGGGTTTCATCGCACCGTGAACTGTCCGTAGTTTTCGCCCCATAAGCATCTCAGCAGGGGGTTTGGAGTTTGGCAATAAGTCATGCGGGGTCGTCCGGTACGCAACTAGGAATCGTTCTATGATATCTTCTGTGGTCCCCTCCCATCGTGCTTTAAGCATGGCTTGTTTAAATGTATCAACGAACTTTTCAGCTTGCCCATTAGATTGCGGGTGATATGCCGGAGAACGAACATGGTTGATCGAATTTTGCAGGCAAAATTCTCGGAATTGGCTAGATGTGAATTGTGAACCATTGTCTGTTACTATTGTTTCTGGAAGACCATGCTGAGCGAATATCCGATTAAGGAGTTTGATGGTTCGAGTTGTAGAGGGTGGCGCAATCGGCAATATCTCTGGCCATTTGGAGTATGAGTCAACCAGTATCAGATATGTGGTACCATCTAGGGGTCCGGTGAAGTCAATATGCACTCGCGACCAGGGTTTTTCTGACTTCGGCCAGGGTACTGGAGGCAACTTAGGAGGATTTTTCGCAGCTTTTTGGCAATGTGAACATCTTTTGACGAAGTCGACAACCTGCTTGTCCATATTTGGCCAATATGCATAGCTGCGAGCGATGGATTTCATACGGTTTATCCCTGGGTGTCCAGAGTGGAATTGGCGTAGGACTTTGGAACGTAGGGCTGTTGGAATTACTACGCGATCACCGAACATCAGACAATCGTTAACAATACAGAGAGCGCTGCGACGATTCGCTAGTTGTTGCATATCACCACTCAGCTGCTTAACTGGCCATCTGCTCTGAACATAGGTGATCGCTTCTTGGATAATCGGGTCTTCTCTGGTAGCTTCCCGAACATCTTCAGCGGTAACAGGCATTGCTCGAATGGCATTCGCTAATAGTGTAGCACCGGAATCCTCTTCGGTTGATACTATGGCTATGAGTGTGTCCTCATCAGTGGTAGAATGGTTACTGATAAGTCTGGACAGTGCATCTGCTTGACCAAAATCTTCGGGACGTCGATACTGGATGTCGAAGTCGTACCCCAATAACGCCAACGCCCAACGTTGAAGACGATTAGCCGAATGGGCAGGAATGCCTTTCTTTGATCCAAAGATTGATAACAACAGCTTGTGGTCTGTGAGCAAGGTGAAACGGCGCCCATAAATGAATTTGTGGATTCGCCGGACAGCAAAAATTAGGGCTAACGCTTCCTTCTCTATCTGGCCGTAGCGTTTTTCAGCAGGTGTTAGTGTTCTCGAAGCGTGCATCACCGCTTTCTCTGACCCGTCGGGAAAGACATGTGAGAGTACGGCACCGAGTCCATGTATTGAAGCGTCAGCAGCAACGAAAATGGGTAGTTTCGGATTGTAGTGGGTTAGCAGAAGATTGGAACTTAGCATGGCTTTAAGTTTTGAAAAGGCTGACTCACATTGCGTTGACCAATTCCAGGTAGCATTCTTTTCTAGCAGACAATTCAGTGGATATCGTACGTCATGCAGTGATGGAAGAAATGCTGAATAGTAGCTAATCATTCCCAAAAATGATCGGGGTGAGGAGAAATCAGTGGGAGCAGGCATTTGTTGGATTGCGTAAAGGTGTCGTCCGGAAGCATCAAAGATAAACCCCAGGTACTTAACGAAACGTAAGAAGAATTGGCATTTTTCTGGGCGAAGGCGAAAACCATTATCCTGGAGGCGTTGCAGAACTAAGTGGGTTCTGGTATGCAATTCATCAGCAGTTACGCCGACAATGAGCACATCGTCAAGGTATGTAGCAACACCAGGAACATCTGCCAGAATAGTGTCCATGATCTGCTGGAAGATCGCTGGAACAGTTTTGATACCGAAGGGTAACCGGGTGTACTGAAAAAGTCCTCGGTGAGTGTTGATTGTCAACAACCCTCTCGATTCGAGAGCGACTGGAATTTGAAGGTAAGCATCTGCCAGATCCAGCTTAGCAAAGTAGGTACCACCATTTAAAATAGTAAATAAGTCATCTGGGATCGGCAGCGGATAGTGATGCTGTTGTAGAGCCGCGTTGAGTCCTGTGGAAAAGTCTGCACACATACGTATGGAACCATTGGATTTTTTTACAACCACAATTGGTGCAGCCCATGATGAATAAGAAACAGGTACTAGGACACCCTCAGTTTCCAAACGTTGAAGTTCAGCGTCAACCAGAGGTAAAGATGCGTATGGAACTGGACGCTTTGGGCGAGAAACTGGCGTAGCTTCTGACTGCAGTTTTAAAACAGCTTTAGTTGTGGAACAAAGTCCGAGACCAGGCTTAAATAGTTCAATAAATCGTTTTCGAAGGTCTTCAGTATGCTGTTGTACAGAAGCAGTAGTTTGGACTTGATTGCAGATAGCGCTAATAGGAAGATTAGCGAGACCAAGTTCTTCGAACCAATCTAAACCTAAAAGGTTGAGCGGAGAACTGGTGATGTAGCATGTCCCATTGAAGGTTGTACCTCTTAATGAAATGCAGCAATAGAGTTCACCATGAAGGCGGAGATGACCCCCACAGGCACTGACGGCTGTCTGAGAGGATGGTTTGATGGGAGGTTGGCCCAAGGTTCGCCAAGTCTTTTTCGACAGAATGGTGATATCTGATGCAGTGTCCAACTGCAAACGAACTGGCTGACCATTGATTGAGAGGGTCAGAAATTTGCGTCGAGTCGCGGCATGAGTATGGAAGACTGCTGCTAAACTCCTTGATGAGGTAATCGGCTTTTTGTGAAAACGACGCTGCGTCTGTGCATTTCGACGGTTATTGGATCGGTTGGATTTGCAATAGCCGCTTTTGTGACCGACTTTCTGACAGCGATCGCACACATGCTGTTTGAATGGACAGAACTTCACGTAATTCCAGGCTCCACAGTGTCAACGTGGGGAGGGACGCTTCTTCTGAGCCGGTTTAGAGTGATTAGAGATAGAAACAGCACTAGCGTTCGAAGGACTCGAGTTTGTCGATCTCGAAGATTTTTTCTGGTGCTGAACAGCATGAACTTCGGAACCACCCTGGCCCCCAGATCGAACCAAAGTGGTGTCACGCTGCAGATTGATGATACGCTGGTATTCGTCTATGATCGCATTAAGTGTCAGTGTTGGATCTTGTTCAAGGCGGTTAAGCAACCGAGTTCTGATGTCGGAGAATTTGGGTGACTGAAGACTGCATATGAGTATTAGGGACTTGAATTGGTCTTCAGTGAGGGATCTGAGCTTGAACCGTTCGCACTCACGGTTAACAACGCCGACGTGGGTCAGGAAGTCATCGGACTCATTCATGACCAGTTTTAAGCAGCGATATCGGGTACTGAAGAGTGAGTGATGATCACCAAAAAGTTGGCTAAGGGACTGAATAGTGGCGTCGAATGAACGGTCGCGTGGGTTCTGCGGTAGAATGAAGTTGCAATACTTATCCAGCTCGGATGGACCAAGTTTACGAAGAAGAAGACGCACCTTCCACGAATCATCTCTGTCAGCAAAGTCAACTTTAAAAAGGTCTTCATAACGTCTGAACCAGGTATCAAATGTAATGTTGGCATCAGGATCATAAAGAAATTCTGAAATACCACTGGTAATACCATCAACTGATTCAGGAATTGTCGGTGTAGTTGGGACTCGAGAAGATATGTGCATCTGAGTAATCATCTCCATCTCCACTCAAAGTGTGTAGAGTCTTCAAGAGATTTCACCGAAGTAAACAAAATTCAATGATATGGTTTCCTGTATCTGGGTGCGTGGAGTATCAATTGTATTGGATATTTTTGAGCTTGAGAAATACTTCATATTGTTAAATTAATTTCCGTGTTTTGTTTAAGAGCAACTGTATTTGGATTATACACATGTGTTTTGTGGTGCGAACTCAGTTTATTTCCGTTACTACAAATAAGCAGGAAGTACCCTCGTCCGAGCAACAAATATGATCAAAAAGCCTAAACATGATTTCCCATTTGCACTCCACTTGCTCATCATTTAAACAGTTTAGTACAGTGAGACACAGTGAAATAAGATACTGTGCTTGTTCACAGACTGTTTTCTTGTTTTTTGTGTTGTCTACACAAATAATGTTTCATGTTCAGAGAGTTGACACGAAGTGCTAATTTGAAAAACCGACTATATCAGTTGTTATGAATACTTTGCTGTTCTAATTACTCGAAATTCACTGGATCATATTGATTTTCACTTTGGACTTTGTATTTAAGACCATACTAACCCCAGTGTATTTTCAAATAATATTGTTTTCTATTTAAGGTGAAAGTGTTCCAGTTACCAAAATTCCCTTACCCGATTCACCATCAAAGGGTACGTTATTCGATATCAAAGTTCATGGTCGGCATATTTTATTTGCTGGTACTACTGTTATTCAAACAAGAAATTATGCAGATGAGCGAGTTCTGGCTGTTGTTGCACGCACTGGCTTTTACACTGTCAAGGGTGAGCTTGTACGGTCAATTCTGTTTCCGAAACCTCTAAAATTCAAATTCACTCAAGATTCCCTCCGGTTTATTTTTGCTTTGTCTATTCTTGCTGTGATTGGTTTGGGAGTTTCAATCTACTTAATGGTAAGAAGGGATGTTTTTGTGCAGAATGTGTAGTTGTTTTTACCTGTCGTTTGGTTACTGATGCTTTTCCACCATTCGTTCCTTATCTCGTCCACCTTTTCAATACAATTTGCTCAGTTGGGGATTTAATTTCTGATTTAAATATATTTTCTATTGGATTGTGTAAAGTTTAACCTATCGTGTATTGACTATGGTAGCCATGTAATTGAATCGCTTCTACGACACTATCCTTTGGATAACGTGGATAACCTATTATAATAAAGTCTCTAGTTTTATTGATTTACATAAGAAGATGACAAAGTCCTGTTTGGTGAATATGGTGACAAAATTCAGAGTCTTGTTACCTCCTTGAGCAACAATTCAAACATGTTACGGATACGATTTCCTTTATTTAAATACGAAATACTGACTCATAACTTTCTCGTGTCAACGCTTCAACTGATTGTAAGGAGTGGAGCATTTTAATGCATTGAGCAGTTCATTTTTCTTGAAATTCTCATCAGCCTTGATGGTCTGGTGTCTGACTAGATCTCAGGGTTCACGTGATTGTTGTCACAAATATTGGGAGACTAGGTGATATGGTTCAGCTGTGCCCTCAAATGCCCTGGTACGGCCGAGAGTAGGGAGAGTCCGCTCTCCCTCTCGAAATGCTCTAACATGGCCACGCGTACATAGCCTCTGCCAGGGAAGTCCTACTCACTGCCTTCTCGTGGCGGGGTTGTTGTTTACGAAATTGAGAGGACGAAAAGCGAATGTCCGGCGCTTTAACCGGGTTGTTGGACATGGAGAGTCCACCTAAGGGAGCTGGAAAACCCTGATTCCAAACCAATGGTACACATGCGCTTCAGTTTCCTGAAGCAACAAATGGCGTATGAACCAATCGCTAGTCATCGGCTACCATAAGACTGCATCTCCTGACGTTGCTCCACTGTCTTGTGGATCAGACCTTCAGGTTGAAGGCTCCGGCTGTGGCCCCCTAAGAAAACCACCTGCTTCGGTTTAGGCACCCGGGCAGTATCACAGCCCTCACACATATCAAATGAGATTTGTGTGGTCTATATGTATTTGGTGTCTCATTGTACCAATATCTATGTGTTAAAATAAATAATCAGGTGTAGGTACATTCTCCCCACAGAACCTGAATTCCGTAATCTCGTTATACTTTCCTTTTTCTTTTTCTATACCTCGAGTGCTTTTCACTACTACCAGTACTGTTTCTGCTTCTACTACACTGGGATTTGTCTTGATAATTTTATCGTGGTGTGTTAATGTGGTATGTCAACTTGAACTGATGCACCTATGTGTAAGGTTTCACGTTGCACATGACTGACCGACTGATAGTAGTTTTCTGTAACATCCTCAAATTTCGATGCATTTTATATCTGATCCATTTTACTTGGTGTGCAAGACGCGTGTTCATGGAAATAATCAACTTAACTACCTTGTAAAAACCCAGAGCTGTCGATGATTGTGTGAGCCATTTGGTTATCAATCTTCTCACGTTAAAAGAATAGATTGGAATACTGAAATAATTACTATCTCACAATCGTGCTCTCTGAATGTTGTTTGGTCTCATTTGGTAATTATTCATCATGTTCATTGTTGATGTAATTGCTTCTTAGGTTACGATTTGTAGTTTTACATTCCTATCTATAGAATGTACAGTGCTCACTTAATACACAGCTGATTGTTTTTCTCTGGCTAACAAATGAATATCGAGGAAGCCTCTAATCACAGGATATTATACTCAGTGAATTTTGTTGATTACGTGTAGCATGACAGCCAACTCCTTCATTGAACCACCCGTCTAATGAATGGCTATATAAATGGAAGCATCTAGTCTAGGAGATACTCTTTAAGTTAATCATTTTTGCTATGGTCTGCTGTCAACCGAGTCTGATATTAATATACGAACGTACTATAAGTGAGTCGGGAACTTTTATTGACTAACGAAATCTAAAAAATATCCACCACTCATAAATATACATACATGCTCAGAAAATTAAGCTATATTTTCAACCAATTGCATACGTATATATGCTCAAGAAGTTAAAACGAATCTTAACTGACAACATGCACCCGTCACTATCTTGCACTTATTATTGGGCAAATGTCCGATCGGCAAATGAATCAATTTTGGTTCTTTGAATGTTATGATTTCGTTTGATTATCATAAATATCTACGTGTACATACGTTCGGGTAGTTATACTGTGATGGCAACCTTTAGTGGCCTTACAATAATGACCTTGTGGTCAGCGACTCCGTCCGGTAGAAAACAATCTTTTCAAAAAAATGCTGACCAAAATAATCACTTAGACCTTGATAGTTTCAAATAAATTGAGCATTGGATAGAGAGTTAGTGTTATATATATATATTGTTATTTCCAAATGAGTAGAATAATTGTATTTCTGACGTTTTGCGACTTGATATAAGCCAAATTAAGTCACAAAACGTCAGAAATACAATTTCTCTGCTTATTGGGATATAACAAATATATGTTTATTATTAATCATTTAAACCATACAAACTCTTCCTTGGGAGTTATAGGATCTTCATTTAGAAGAATCACGACGCCTCATGATGAAAACCGAAATTCTTCGGAAATCACTAGTCTGATGCCTCTTCTGACAACCAGAGCAACAATCAATATCGGTACATGGAATGTCCGGACAATATGAGAGACTGGGAGACCCAGTCAAATAGCTGCCGAAATGAGGAGATGCAAATTGGCGGTTCTCGGAATCAGTGAAACCCATTAGACGCAAGCTGGATAAAAAAAGGATATATCCGTGAGGGATGCTGTTTTACTCTAGTCATCAAGAAGAAAATGTTTCGCACACACAAGAAGTTGCACTGGTGCTGTCCGAAGAGGCACAAAAAACACTTATATGATGGGATCCTCACGGGTCTGGCATCATCAGAACATTTTTGAAAATGAAGAAGGAGGGGATCACAGTGAAGGTTATCCAGTGTTATATGCCCATCGGTGAAAGCGAAAAAGGCGATAGAGATCAGTTTTCTGAGAGGCTGGAGTCATTCGTAGAGAAGTGACCAGGAACGGACCTGACCATCCTGGTGGATAACCTAAACGCGAGGGTCGGAATGGACAACATGGGATACGAAAATATCATGAGACAACATGGACTGGGAGCAAGGAACGTGTATGGCGAGAGATTTGCAAATTTATGTGTCTTCAACAGAATGATGATCGGGAGCACTATATTAGCCCACAAAGCCATACACAAAGTTGCATGGCTCTCACCGGGTCACACTACAGAGAACCAGATCGATCATATTTGCATCATTAAAATATTCGGAAGCCCAATGGAAAACATGAAAACCAAGAGATGAGCTGACATAACTTCAGATCACCATCTGGTGGTTGCCAAGATGAAATTAAAGTTTAAGAAGCATTGAACAGTTGGTGAGTAACACTACAAAGGTTTGATACAAATTTCTTTTACATACTGACAAACTCAACGAATTCAAGATAACCCTCAACAACAGGTTCTAGGCCTTACAAGATCTGCTGGCAAAGAGGAAACTACTATGGAGGACAACTGGAAAGAGATCAAAGAAGCACACAATTAATAAAATTGAAGGGAAATTTAGTAAACCAGAGCGACTAGTCAGGGACAAAGAAGGCAAGCCAACCATTGATATTCAAGAGCAAAGGAAAACATAGGTAGAACACATTGAAGAACTCTTGAATAGACCGGCCCCACTGGGCCTACCGGACATGGAAGCAGCACACACAGACCCTCTTATAGCTGTCACTTCACCAACGATCAAAGAAATCAGCATGGTCATCAGACAAACCAAGAGTGAGAAAGCGGCAAGACCTGACAATGGGGGTTCCAAGAGAGGTTCTCAACAGACTGTTGCTGAACCGGATAAATGACTCAGTAGACGCCCAACTTCGAGAACAACAGGCTGGATTCCATAAAGATTGGTTGTGCACAGACCAAATCGCTACAGTTTATATTATTGTTGAGAAATCAATTGAGTGGAACTCGTCACCGTACATCAACTTCCTTGACTATGAGAAATCGTTTGACAGTGTGGATAGGGAACCTTATGGAACTTGATTCCCCTTTATGGTGCACCCGAGGGGACCGTCAACATCATCCGGAATTCATACGACGGACTACACTGCAATGTTGTGCATGGAGGACAGCTGACAGACGCATTTCAAGTGAGGACCGGAGTCAGATGGGACTGGTTACTTTCGCCCTTCCTCCTTCTTATGGTGGCCGACCGGATTATGAAGACCTACATATCTCAAGGTAAGCATGGAATACGATGGACAGCTTGTGTACATTTAGACGATTTGGACTTCGCAGATGACCTAGCCCTTCTATCACATACACAGTGACAAATGCAGGTGAGAACAATCAGTATAGCAGCAGTCTGTAGTGGCTGTGCTTCGATAATTAATCACCCTCGAACCGTTATCGTATAATCTTCAACGATGTTTGAAATCAGAAGGCAAAAAGAAGCAGCTACTACAGTTTATTTAGTAGATAATTCGGACCAGACAGCAGAGAGGCGAAATGAATGAGCAAGCGAACTACGATTGTAGCAGTAGCAAGTAGTTGTAGTTGTAGTAGTAGTAGTAGTAGTAAATGGGTGCAAATGTATATATATATATATATATATATATATATATAGGAAAATGGATGAGTCAGCGAATAGACTAAGCAGTTAATAATGAAGCTAGCAGAATGAATACATGCGTAGGCGCTAAACAATGTTCAAGCATATGTATTTCATACAAGCATAATAATAAAGATAGTACAACAAGTTGTTATATCATGGATGACTTTGTCCATTAAATAGGTCAACAAAAGACCTTGGCTGAACTAAACTCAATTGCACGTGAGTCGCTATAATAGCTCCCCCCTGCAAACAAAGATATATGGAAAAATGTCTGTGTTTGCACACAAAAATAGTAAACTGAGTAGGGTAGTTACAGTCGTTTTAAAAAAATGGTTTGTA